TATTGTCTAGGCCTACGTGAGGATCAATCTCAATTCGTTTTTCGGCTTCCAGGTTCTGGAGAAGGCGAAGAGGCCGAAAGGTAAGTAGCAGCTAGCTGGATAAAGTTGTGAATCTCGAAAAGGCTTAAAACAGCTCAAAAGACAAGTTCAGCTATGCCGAGATCAAGAGAAAGTCGAACATTGTCCATTCAAATCTTTCCCTTTATTGCGCGATCGAGAGCGGAGAGTGCGACACGCCGCTCGGGGAGAAGGTAGCAGACCCCACTATAACCCCACCCCTTATCAGGAGAGAACTAGTAAAGTTCGGCTTCTCAAAGGTTCTAAAATTGAAGCAGACCTAGATCCTTGGAGAAGACAATCAAGTTGAGACGTAATTGTTCTACCTAAATACGATCTTGTAAGGCACCAAAATACAAGCCTAGTAATAGTTCTGTCGCAGTTCATTGTAATGCTAATTAATTTTTATAGGACAACCAGTCATCACAATTACGGACAACACACAATTGAAAATCGTGGATTTCCCTGCATTAATGAAATTCGAGGAGAAGGAGACACTAATAATTGTAAAGAACAATCCACTGATTCCTCACTCTGTAATTGCTTCACTCAGAATCCTTTGCCAATTCTGTGATATCCAGTACTACAAATCAAGTGGGTTTATTAAGAGGTTTTCCAGTGACAGAACAGAGGTTTTCCTCTTTAAATTAGCCAGTAACAAAAAGCAAAATTGGAATTGTTGTTTGAGAAGTTTGAAATTGTTCCAGAATGCGATGGATTAACCAGTATAGGAAGCGCCGAGGAGTTTGTGAATATGTGTGCCGGACAACTAGTAATCACCGTTAAGGGATCTACTGTTATCGATCAGCAGCTTACCGAGACACAAGTGAATCAGGTGTTCTCTAATGCCTTGAAGTCCATATGTGCCTCAGCGTCAGCAGTTCTCTAATTCAAAATCTTACTACTGTTATCGATCAGCAGCTTACCGAGACACAAGTGAATCAGGTGTTCTCTAATGCCTATGAAGTCCATATGTGCCTCAGCGTCAGCAGTACTCTAATCCAAAATCTTACGTTCCCCAACTTGATGCGATGGAAGAGCTGCCGTAAAGGTAGTCTTACACTTGTATCCGTAATCTTTTACCAGAAGGTAGTGAAACTACACTGAAACCTTTCAGGTCAACCGGCTCTAAGTGTGAAGAACAACGTACGACTGACCCACCTTGGCTTCCCCTCTTGTACAATGAAAGGCTGTATCGACCATGCCGTTATCAGCGGTAATCCAGTTCTATCTCAACAGCAACAGAGCACGGTTGGGCAGTGGTGTAACACCTGCGACTTCGGACAAGGACAAGGTTTGTTTAGCTTCGGGTCATCGTGACTCTAGGGCAGTACTGTGGCAATATGTCTGAGTTCAAGGAAAGGATTGAAGCTGAAATTTATAAAAATCGAAGCTTTTTGCGAACTTTCGCAGCAGCGAGCACAGGTTGCGTTACAAAAATCGGCCACCATTAGATAGATCGTTTCCTTGAGGACTATCAATATTCGCGGCTCAAAATTTTACAGTTCAATGCAGTCGGCCAAAGGTAGGCCACGGAATAGAAATGCGAGAGGCCGATCGTTATGGTCCTGCTTGACTAACGATCAGACATATTTATTAGCTGCACTCAGGAAGATTCGGACACTTATACAGTCCCAAAAACCAAAATGGGTTTGAAGCAAATTGTGATGCCAGTAGTCACCTTATTGCGCCCTTTCTTAGCGAACCAAATACCCTATCATTCCATCGCTTGTCAGCCTGCACATGCTGCTCTATGAATACGATGTACCGCTGTGTTCTCTCTAATACTATTCCCATTTGATTTGAATAATGCCAATTTCAATAGTATTTCAGGAAGTATGCTCTCAGGTATGTCAGAAGGTATGTCCCAAAGTATGTCGGAAAGTATGTCTCAAAGCATGTCGGGAAGCATCTCTCAAAGTATGTCCGGAAGTATGTCTCAAACGATGATGGAAAGTATGTCTCAAAGTGTCTCGGGAAGCATGTCCCAGAGTATGAGTATATCTTCTTGAAGACATCGGCTTTGTTCAATATCATCAATCGTGAATAAAGCAGTCCAAAACTCAAAGTTGTCAGTACCGCACATGCTCATTGACACAATGGTGACGAGAGGTTTCATTCGACCTTCAAAACGAATCACCTTCAAGGCCGACAACTAGTTAATATTATCTCATTCGACCACTAAATATGCATCTTATAATTCAAAATATCGCACTGCTGCTTTCGAATAACGAAATTGAAGATAAAATCTGAGGGAGATTTTTGGAAAGCGCATTTTTTGCAATACATTGTGTGAACTACATCGGAGTGGCTTATCCCCTTTTATCCGGCCGCCACAAAGGGTTGCACATAGTTCAGGGCCAGTGACAAGTATGTCGAGGAACATCGGCTAACAACACCCCATTCAGCCTCCCCTTTACTCCCCATTCCCCTCCCGCTTCCCTTCCTCTCGGGTATGTGGACTTACGTGCGTCCGAGAACGCGCGCGGCATACTGCGCGGCGAGGTTCGTGACGATTTGAACGACTTTAGCACCTATCACTGGGGCCCGAATTGAAGTAGAGTAGATAAGAGGATCAACTGACCCTACTGAACTACTCTGAGTTTCTACCCTGAAAGTTGGCGTCAGAGTTGTACAAATCGTCACGAACCTTGACGCGCAAGTTGCCACGCGCATCCTCGGACGCACATGGTGCACACCCCCTCTCCCTTCCTCCCTGGGCATTATGAAATTCCTTGGGATTTTTCTATAATAACTGCATAGGAGGCTATCAAACGATACAGAAAAGAAGATTGATTCAGGAACAAACCAGGACAGGTAGAAAGGCCAATTTTTTTAAAATAGGACTATCAAAATGGTCCGTCGCCAGTCGGTCGGGATCCTGGGTGACCCATCAAAAGGAAGTCAATGGGCAAGGCTTATCGGACTTATCACGATGGAAGAATGTCATGCAGAAGCTTCATTGCCTCTCGTATGCAGAAATTTCACTTCAATTTCGATCTCATCAGGCACTGCAGGGCCGAAAAATGCAGAAAGTCGCAGACCCACTTGAGTGATGACACGCAACCCTTCATCGTTTTCAGTGTCCAATAAATTTTTACGATAAAACCATCCCTCAACAACCAAAACGTTCGCGTTCAGGAAAGAAACAACTAGTGTGCAATCTCTTATAAAAAGGTTGTTAGAAGAACAGTAAAATGTGCCTTGAAGAAGTCACTGGCAAGGGTAAGACGCTCGTGGTTATTTCGTGCCGGCGTGAAAATTGACCAAGACCAGTACTCAAACAGGGTACTGATGGACGTAATGAAGCACTGATCTGACTGAACTTTTCTAAAACATCTCGTTACCCTTCCAGCAGGACGCTACTTCAGCCCACAGAGCCACACTAGCCCACGAGTGGTGCCGACTACAGCTGCCCGACTTCTTCGGTAAAAAGTAATGGCTATCATATTTTCCAGAACTAACTCACTTGACTCCCTCGTATGGCCCCTGATTAGAAGAGGACCTGTCGAGTTTTCATTCCCAGTTTGGGGTCTCGAAAAGAAGGAGTGATGATCGGCTGGGAAGGAATGGAGAAGGATACTTGCGAACCACATGTGATCAGGTCGAGAACAAACTTTGGACTCTACCCGCGCTAATTGGTTGTATCCTGAAATGTGATTGTTGCGTTTTGCAGCAAATGGTGTTAGCTGTGTATAGAAATTTCTATCCTCTTCAGCAGATGAGAAGCTTCGAATATATTTCTATGAATCGTCGCCTATAATTTTGGAATACCTTGTACAGGTCAGGTCGGCTACCCCTCCACTCTAACTCTCAGTGTCGAATAAAATCGATGCCCCTCTCCCATAACACCTTCTATTTGGTAGAAGTAGGGAATGAGACCCGGCATAAGCCGGGCGACCCGACTGGTATATATATATATATGTATATATATTTATATATGTATATACATATATACACATATATCCATAACTGAGTCTTACAGTCAGCTTTAGTCAAACTCATGTCATTTTCTGCTACTAATCCTTTGGACATTTCCAAATTCTCAAAGCTGACAATGAACCGCCAGTTTTAAGTGTACCCTTCATCCTTCAGAGCTATGCGCAAAGTTTTCGCTTCAATTTATCCAAAGGCAAATCTCCATGAAACTCCATTCCACTTGAAGGGGGATTTTTGTACAGCCGAGCTGCCTTCCTACTTTCGTTAACGTCCCGAGAGAACTGCAACCACCTGATGGTGGGGCAGCACGTAAGAAGTTGATCTTCACTTTCCTTGACTTCTTAGTTCTCGAAAATTATTATGTAAATGTTGTATGCTGTAGCCCATTAAGGATTTCAAAAGTGGTGCCACTAATCGCAGTCTTGAATCTCTGCCGGATAATTTCTGGAGCTCTACATACTAAGGCCTCATCTCGTCAGCACGGGTCTAGTGAGGGCCAACCCATCGTTGATCCGATGATTCCCAAACTAATCCCTGATCAACTAATCAACGTCGTCTTCGAGTAATCGAAACCGCATTCGCACAACACTCCAACATTAGCTGGATTCACATGTCGATTTATAAAGACTGAAGTTTGATTGAAATAGGCAGTCTAACATTGTCAAGATATGTCGTAAAGCCCATGACTCTTTAACATCTGGGCTGTCACTGCACCGCGTACATACTATCCGACGAGCAGCACCGTCACCATCGATTGCGCCGCCGTCATCGATTGCCACGCAGCATGGGCGTGGCGCCGAGTGTGCACTTAACACCTTTCATTCTTATGCCATGTCAACGCACCGAGCGGTCGGTTTTCTATTTCGTGTGTCGTATTCTCGCAATCCCATCGTTATCGTGTAACCTCGACTCAGAAGGGATCGGAAGCACTCAGGAGATCGCACTGCCGAAGGAGAGGAGATAAAGAGGCTCCAGGGTGCGAGCAGGAGGATGGAAAGTATAGAGCTGCCAGCCGTCGTCGGACGGCTGACGTCATCAGCAGCTCGGGAGTATTGGGAGCACCATGGAGCCTCGGGTCAGCTAAGGAACTCGGGGCCGCGGAGAGGAGCGGACCGCGCATGACACACGTCTGCGGACACCGCATCGCTCTCCTTCCCCGAGGGCAGAGAGTGCCGACGACTCCTAATGAGGTTAGAGCTTGTCCCGTAAGTCACTTCTCGCATTCACGTGTCGTATGAAGATAAAAGTAATATCCGTTCGTGTATGTCGTATGTCGTGATAGCCGTGATTACNAATAGCCAATAGTTTATAAGGAGAAGTACACGCATATACATATATGCTCATGTAGTTTTATATAGATATATATACATATGTATATTCACGCATATCCAACTCGCACGTACATGGGACAGGAGTAGTGGCCACGCAGGGACATGGGCGGAAGGCCTCGGATGCCACACCATCTAATAGCAGTATCCTACAACACGCAGTATCTCGCTCTCTCCGCGATCGGGTGGCTTGTAGCAGGACCGCCTTGTAACGCGTGGCTAGGCGTGACATCAGCGCCCTAACGGAGTACAGCATCACCCATCCCGTTCGCGACAATCTCCACTAAGGTGTATATGCATGGCGCATACCGAAAACTCGGCTTCCTTCCCGGTGTCCGTCGAAAGTATGCATCAGTAGGAAAAAAAGCTAAGCCTCCAAAAGTGTTAGCTCGATCCTGATAGGGTATACTCTTATTAGCTGCTTTCATAGTCCGCCGGCTGGCCGGCCGGCGCGCCGGCGCACTGATGTAAAACGAATTAGTTTGTATGTGAGAAATCTACGTCCGTTCCATTTCACGGTCAGAACAAGTCAGAACCGTGAAATAAGATGCAACAGACGTCTTACATACGAACTAATTCGTTTTACGTCAACGATAGCCCGCCGGCGCCGGCCGGCCGGCGGACTATGAAAGCAGCCATTCTGAAGCTTTGTTGAAATCTACATATTTCCTGAGCACTGGGTTTCCGTATTTTTTTGAATTGGACTCAATTTTAGTTGTAATCTGCGATATGGGACCAACTCTGCTTGCCTCGAAACTTTTCCCTCCCTGATAAGCTCTTTTTTCAGGCTTCCCATGATTCTACAAAGGCTATTAGCATTCATGGCTTCCTATTTCATCTTCGAAATAAATATGATAGTTCTTCAAAAAAAAGTGCAAAAATTAATTCTCGCTGCCGTTGAGCAGCATTTCACTTCACACATTGCTGTCTTGCTATTAGGTTGAGTCATAAGTCCTCGGAAAAAATGATAGTGATGAATTCTAGCGATCATAACTCTTGAAAGACGTGACGAAAATGAACGTGCGAGAACTGTTAGATAGAGTATGGAAAGCCCTTTCAAACGCATGCTAGAGAAAGCACCTAACTAATTTCTTTCCAGCAACTGTGCCTCATTATTTCAAGCCGTCGTAACTCCACATCCGCAACACCACCATATTTATTTTTTTATCTGGCCATGAACCCGCGGCAGTCGAAAGAGGTATGAAGGACATTCACAAGCAGGACGTGTACAATTTAAAAGTGGCA